TCCTAGGAAACTCTTATGAGGCATTTCTTCTCTATTGCATGGGAGTCACTGTGACTCCAAGACACCTCAATAACTACCTTATTATTAAGATAAAATGAATTCACTTATCTAAGGGGCTTTCTGCTGGAGAAGAGTGGTCAGTCTCCTCCCATGTGATTAACTGCTCCTGAAAACCTGCCAGAGAGTTACCTATGGGGGTGGATTCTTATTCTATAGAACTCAACAAGAAGGAGTTTTCAGCAGTTTCCACTGCTCAAAAATGCCACTTTTAATAGGACACTCCCTCACCCCAAAAGTATAACAGAAAGCTATTATTTGCAAAGAGAGTAAGGGAACTTGGCATATTTTAGGAATGAGAAAAGATGTAACACAGTTATTTATCATAAAAGTTAGTAGCATATGTGGTAACATTGTCTTGAGATAGGTGATTGTGATTTATGGATCATCTAGCTTTCTGGTTGTGAGCTCTTTTCTAGGAGCCCTTGGCTGATAGAAAATAATGCAGATATGGAGGAGGAGGAGGGTTGAGTCCATGAGGTCTGAGCTTTTTCTCAACTGAGTGTGCCTGAGTAATGATGGTAGGGGAGGCCCAGTGCTCAAGTGTTTGTAGGGGACTGATTCTGTGGTATACGTTTGTAGCAGCTAACTCAAAATTTGACTGCTTGAAGCCACTCCCTGTTCCTTGAGAGAATGGTGAGGCAGTCTGAGTGAAGATCTACAACCTTGGAAAACTTATGTGGGTCAGAGAAAACTCTGTAGGGTTGCTGTGAGTTGAAACTGACTCAGTGACAATGGTCTTGGTTTTTGTTTTTGGATTATGATGATAAATTTTGCATTCTAATTTTGGGTAGAAGAAAGGAAGGTAAAGAATGTAAGAGGTGATGGAAACAAGATTGACCCTCTGAGTTAACAGTGAGAAAGAGGCATCTAATGTGATGAGTATTAGAAGAGGTTACCTTCTGATATATTGTATTATAAAAGAAATTTTCTATTTTGCTTGAGACTGTACACATCAAAACACCAGTTCAGTTTCTCCATATATAATTCATTGACATTCATTACATTCTTTGTTGTGCAAATGTTCTCAGTCTCCTTTGCAGAACTGTTTGTACACTATCAACACAAATTCACAGCTCCATAAGATTTTCACTTGATATTTCAAGTTCTAACATACTGTATTATTTAGTACGTTTATTGTTTCTCCTCACTCTTGTTATTAGGTGCTTTCGAGTTATGCATGACTCATAGTGACCCTATGAATAATAGATCTGGAACCTGTCCTATCCTGTGCCAACCTTACAATATCTGACACTCTCATGCCCATTGCTGCAGTCATTGTGTCAATCCATCTGGTTATATGTCTTCTCCTTTGCTGTCCCTTCACCCATGAAAGCATGACGTCTCTCTACAAGGAATAATCTCTCCTAGCAAAGATTCTCACCACTCAACCAATCGGTAGCATCAGGATGGATGGCAAAGAGATTGAGATTGTTCACAGCTTCCGTTTGCTCGGCTCCACGGTCAACACTCTTGGCACCAGCAGCCAGGAAATCAAAAAGCGTATTGCGATGGGAAAGTCTGCTGTTAGGGACCTCTCTAAAGTACTCAAGAGCAACGGTGTCTCTCTGGAGACTAAGGTGCGTCTGATACAGGCCATGGTCTTTGCAATCACTTGTTATGCATCAGAGAGTTGTACAATGACTAGGGAGGACAGAAGGAGAATTGATGCCTTTGAGCTGTGGTGCTGGAGAAGAGTATTGAATGTACCATGGACTGCCAAGAAAACAAACAGATTCATCCTCGAGAGCATTAAACCAGCCTACTCCTTGGAGTCAAGGATTCTGGGGCTTTGTCTGACATACTTTGGACATGTTGTAAGGAGAGATAGGTTCTTGGAGAGGGACATCGTGCTTGGTAGGGTAGAGGAACAGCACAGGAGGTGGATTGATTCAGTGACTGGGGTAATAGGGATGGGTGTGTCAGAGGCAATGCGATTGGCACAGGGTAGAGCAGGGTTTAGGGCTGTTGTACATAGGGTTGCTATGAGTCGCAAACAACTCAACGGTACGTAACAACAACAACAATATGCTCAAAATGTGAGACAAGCTTCATCATCTTTGACTCTAAGGAGCATTCTGACTGCACCTTCTCCAAGACATTAGGATCTTCAGCACTTTTTCTCTAACACCACAGTTCAAATGAATAATTTTTTCTGTAATCTTAACTCAGGCACATCTTGATCCTAATGTCCTTATGTGTAGGACATAATTTAACATAATTTGTTATGATCTACACAGTTAAATGCCTTTGCATAATCAAAGCACAAATAGACAATAGAATGTAAGATTTGAGTTGTTGTTGTTAAGTGCTGTTGAGTTGCAGGTGACTCATAAGGACCCTATGAAGGAGAATCCTTGACGCTTGGGTGCCTTTCATCCTCTCTCCAGGTTCATAGGGTTTCCAGAGGCAAGCTATTATGGAAGTGGATGCCACTCCTTCTTCCAAGCTTGTTTTAATCGGGGAGCTCCACCCCACTTTCTGTCCACATTGGGTAACCAGCCACTAACGCAGTTGACACACATCAGTGTCACAGTGTTCAGCCTCACAGCAACCACAAGTTACCGCTGTACAGCAACTTGTACACCAGGGCTATACGACCTAGTGGAATGTCTGAACAAAAACAATGAAAGACAGGCCCGAGGGCCTCGGATTAAAATTCACCCACCTTTGGCTTGGTAGCATTTCTTTCTGTCCACTGGGCCAGCTGATCTCTCTCTATGTTGATGTTATTGTTGTTAAGTGCCATTGAGTCGCAGGAGACTCAGCGGCCCTATGAAGGAGAGTCCTCGACGCTTGGGTGCCTTTCATCCTCTCTCCAGGTTCATAGGGTTTCCGAGGCAAGCTATTATGGAAGCGGGTGCCACTCCTCCTAACAAGCTAAGATTTGAGTACAATATGCTTATGTGTATATGTATGTGTTTTTTATTGCCATTGAATGATTAGGGATCACATCTACCCAAAGTGTATGAGAACTGCTCAAACAGACATTTTTGCTCTTCAGTAATTTAGAGTAGTCCTTGACTGTAGAGTTTGTCATTGTAAAATGTCTCCTGATCTTCTTACTGCTTATACCAGGTGTACTGATTGTGGTTCTAAGAAAGATGAAGTTGTGGTGCTATGCAGTATTTGTATTTTTGTGCTGAGAGATTTCACTCATCATGATGTCCTCCATGTTGTGTAATGTTTTATGAGTTCATTGTTTTTCATTGCTGTGTAGTATTCCATTGTGTGAATATACCATCGTTTTTCTATCCATTTCATTTCTTGATGGGCATTTCGATTGCTTTTATCTCTTTGCTATTGCAGATGATGCAGCAATAAACATGGGTTTGCAAATAAAACTAAATTAAAAAACAACATTATAAAAATATCTTTTCATTCAGATTAGTATGGACAAATTGTTGTTGTTGATTGCCATTGAGTAAAAAATGACTCATAGTGACTCTATGACCAAAAGACCTGAAGCCTTTCTATAACTATTGTAGTTTCTCTAGGTTCATAGAGTTTCCAGAGGCATTTGGTTTAGGAAGTGGGTGCTACTCCTGCTTCCAAACCTGAATCAATGTGGGAGCTCTGCCAAACACTGCCCCATGGTGCATAGCCATGGTGTTTGACACACTTATGGCACATTTTTTTCAGCATCACAGCAACTCCAGATTACTTCAGTACAGTAGATAGACAGAACACTTAAAAGAATGTTCATCCCAAAATCAGTTAACATCAAGAAGCAAGAAGCTATCAGCCAGCATGAAATCGGTTCCAAGCAAGCCTTACTGCATTTGTAAATTCAGGCATGCCTCAATTTGTAAATAAACTGCTGGTATTAAAAACTAGTAAATAAACCACTGGTATTAAAAATACTTCTGGACACATGTCAAGACTTCACTTAGATGTTATTTTAGGTAGATAACAATAGATTTTGTTGTATTTAAAAATAAAAACCAGATAAAATAGGTGATTTTAAGATTGCTTATCAATGATAACTTCCCCAGTGCTCATATTGAGGTTTAGAAAAAGAAAAGGTCAGAAAAGATCATCCTTTCTTGTTAATCCTGTAATTACTGGTAATAATTGGAGCAGTGAATGAGGTTAATATCTCCTTGTTTGTTGTTAGTTGCCTTCAGTTGCCCTCAACTCATAGGAATCAACAGTAGATCTGAACTTTGATTATCCTCTGTCATCCTCCTGATCTCTGATATACTCAAGCTTACTGTTGCAACAACGGTGGGCTGGCATTGTAGATATCTTAGAATTTTGAATGTAAGAAAAAGTTTGTAAAATGGTAAAAGTTTCTGTTTTATACAAAAAATATATAATTTGGGATTTTATAATACTAACTTAATGAATTTTATTATTTTCAGTGGTATTTTTGAATATGATATTTAAAATAAAAATATTTTTGCACTGTAAATGTTATTCACATTATGTTCAGAATTTAGATTCTAGAAACTTCATTCACTGGTAATTGACATTTCAGTCTTTATCAATTTCTAGAATTTATGTGGTCTTTTAAAATTCCTAGACATTACCTTTTATAAGCATAATGTTGATTGAGAATATTTCATGCATGGTTGAATTTGCAGATTCCAGTTAACCCATTTTAAGAAATTGTTCTTTACACATGCTAATTACAAGATTCTAACCTGGAACACTTTCTTTAATGAAAATTATTACCCATCTTAATGTTATTTAGGAAAATTCTTACCTCTGAAGACAATGTTAGGACCAAGATATGATAGTCAAGTTGCAGAAGAAAATCGATTTCATCCCAGTATGCTTTCAAATTATTTAAAGAGTTTAAAGGTAAGGAAATAATTTTTATTTTTCTGATATTGATTTAATATACTGTACCCCTGTTTTGTTTTTCAGGCAGCTTTTTCCTTAGGATTTCTCATTTTGAAAGAATTAATAAACTTACAGGAAATTGCAGAAATAGTCTGGGGGAGAAATAGTTTCTGGTTCCTTGGCTGAAATAGCCCTGTCTATTAAGGAAATTTTATATTTTCCTGACTCCTACCACTTCTTATTCCTGTCACACTTTGGACCTGGAGAGAAACAACATAAGTTCTCCTCCTCATTGCAGCTCGTTAGGAAATTGACTTATGATGTCTAAATCTTTGTCTAGCAATACATGCTATCTGTAAATCAATAGAGAACGTTATGACAGTTATGTCTCAGAAATTTATATTTTGTCTATTTTATAATGTACGAAATTGATGTTTTTACCTTTTTAAATAATAGTAGTCTAATAATTATGTTGACTATAATAATTATGCAACCAATATAGTTATTCATAAAGCAAAAATAAGAGAAAAAGAACAAATGTAAAAAGTCTAAATGATTCTTTTATCTCAGAATAAAGAGAAAGAACAGTTCCCTTGCTTGAGTTACTTTTATCTCTGTACCCTTTTTTTTTCCTTTGAAGATACAAGAAGCCTTTCATCTGTTAGCTTTCGTTTGCTTAAAAAGTTGTCATAAACACAGTGGCTTAAAATAGTGGCCATATACTTAGCTCATAATTTCATGGATCTGTGTTTGAGATCAGCTGGGAGATCTTCACTGGCCTTAAGTACAGTCACTCTCCAGCCACTCTGCATGGTACACTGCCTGGTTGGCTAGGATTGGTTGATGAAAGGGAACTTTTAGTTGAGATAGTTTGTTTTCCACATGATCTCATAGCCTCCAGTTGGGTGGCTTGCCCAGGTTTGGGTCTTTACACTTCTTACTATATAAGCTGGGGCTGTATTTTTATGCTAGATTGAATGTGATTCTGGTCTTTTAATATTTTTTTATGCCACATATTGCCCCTGAACACTTGTTAATGATTAGCTTAAGAAATAAGACCTTTTTTGTTCCAACTCAAAAGGAAAAACTGACAGTAATGCATTTATTGAGAGGTGGTATTAAGTCTCTAATGAGGTGGACAAATATAACTGTATGTACTATTACTGATTAAGGGATTTACAAGGCAATTTCAGCAATACACATTTAGTTTACTCTGCACTTGGATGGAATTTAACTCTGCCTAAGGCACTGTTTCATCCTAAACTATTACACTACATTTGAAAGAAAAACTATAACTTGCTAAGGATTTCCTCAGAAATATAAGTCAATAAACCTTCCTTTAGGTTCATGAATGAGCAATTTAGAGAGGGAAACAAATAAATGTTGAGTGGTTGTAATGTAAAAGAATATAATACCTTAGATAGAAAAAACTTATCACTTATAGGTTAGAAAGAAATATACCTCAATTCTCCAACTGCCAATGCTTATTCCCATTTTAACATTAAATTATATTTGCTTAATAGAAGCAGGAGTGACATCCAATTCCTAAACATCATGCCCCTGGAAACTCTGTGATAGTTACAGAAAGGGTCCAGGTCTTTTTTTCATAGGATCACTACGAGTCATGCTTGACTTGATGGCAGTAACAACAACAAGGCTCTGTACCAAAAAAAATTGGCTGACAAAAAAGAATTTCATGAAACAACATATGATCAAGAGCCTATGGTGATAAATAAGGAAGTTCAAGGTGCTCTGAAGGAATTGGCAAAAAACAAGGCCCCAGGAATTGACGCAATACTAATTGACTTATTTCAGCAAACAGATACTTCCCTGGACATGCTCACCAGGTTATGCCAAGAAATCCTGAGGACAACTACCTGTCCAGCTGATTGGAAGAGATCTGTATTTATTCCCATTTTTAAAAAGGTGAACCAACAGCTGTCATTGATTGCCATCAAGTTGCACACAACTCAAAGCGACCCTATGAACAAAAGACCTGAGGCTTTTCTATAACTATCATTTCTCCAAGTTCATAGAGTTTCTAGAGGCATTTAGAAAGTGGATGCCACTTCTCCACAAAACCTGTCTTAAACTGGAAGTGTCTCCAAATACTGTCCACCATGGCCCCTATTATGGCATTTGAAACCCCAGTGGCACAAGGTTCAGCATCACAGCAAACCTAGATTACTTCAGCACAGCAAATTGACAGAAGAGTGCTGCATGACTTAGAAGAATGTTCCCCCAAAATACAATAACAAGGGATTAACACGTTGCTGCAAATGATGGCTATAGTGGGAAAAAAAAGTGTTTCTAAGAAAAAAATGTGTTTCTAAGCATGGTCGTCAATTTAAAAGTGTGTGGCATGTTAAGATATAATCGCTGGGGCCCAACTTTTAAATACAAGGGCCCTCCTCGAGGTCCTGTTAACTCTAAACAAGAGGCTTAAATAAAAAAGCAACCAAACATTTCATGCTGACCCTCAACCAAAACAAGAGAGGCCATCTTACAGTCTAGCCACTTCTGTCTGACCCAACAGAGTGTGGAAATTACTGAACTGTCTCACTGATATCACACACAAACAAGATCCTGCTGAAGATTATCCAGAAATAACTAGAACAGTACATTAGCAGAGAACTGCCAGAGATGTGCAGGCTGGGTTTAGAAGAGGCTGTGGTACTAGAAATATTATAGCCAGTGTTAGATGGATCTTGGCTGAAAGCAGAGAGTACCATAGGAATGTCTATCTGTGTTGCATTAACTGTGCAGACATTTGGCTGTGTGGATCACAACAAATTGTGGCTGACTCTGAGAAGAATGGGGACACTTAATTGTGCTCATGCAAAACCTATACTTGGACCAGGAGGCAGTCATCAGAACAAAGCAAGGAAACTCTTCAAAATCAGAAAGGGTATATGCCAGGGATGTGTTCTATCTCCATACCTTTTAAATCTATATGCTGAACAGATCATTTGGGGCGCTGGGCTTTATTAGAGGAGGAATGTGGCATCAGGATTGGAGGAAGACTTATCAACAACCTCTGTTGTGCAGATGACACAACCTTGCTTGCTGAAACTGAAGAAGACAGGAGGCATTTGCTGCAGAAGGTCAAGTATTGTAGTCTTCAATATGGATTGAAGCTCAGCATCAAGAAACAAAGATGATTAAGATGATTATCACTGGGCCAATTAGAAGTTTAATGATGGATGGAGAAGAGATTGAGATTGTTGATAACTTTAGCTTAGAAATCAAAAGATGAATTCCATTGAGAAAGTCTGCTGTTGGGGACTTATCTAGAGTACTGAAGAGCAACGATGTCAATCTGGGGACTAAGGTGCACCTGATCCAGAACATGGTCTTCGCAGTTACTTGCTATGCTTCTGAGAGCTGGACGATAAGGATGATAGAAGAGTGATACCTTTGAGTTGTGGTGCTGGATTAAAGTGTTGAACATACCATTGACTGCCAGGAGAACAAACAGGTCTGTCCCAGAGAGGGTGAAAGCAGGCTGCTCCCTGGAGGCAAGCATTTTGAGGCTCCATTTCACGTACTTGGGCACATGACCAGGAAGGACCAGTCCTTGGAGAGGGACATCATACTTGAAAGAGTGGAGGGACAGCACAGGAAAGGAAGACCCAGGATAAGATAGATTGACTTAATGACTGAAGGAGTGCTTAAATCTGTTGGAGATGATGAGAGGCTCAGGATAGGGCATGTTTCAAAGCTAATGTAGGTAGATAGGGTTGCTGTTAGCTGCAGGTGACTCAGAGGCGCATAACAAAATTCTGCTTTATGACATTTATGCTTTGATTTAAAAAAGTAGACATTCAAAACAAGCAGTAGAGAAAAGAGGGAATAAATAATGAACACTGCATTGGAACAGATGAAGGAAAGAATTGTTTAAGAGTAATATATGATTAGGCATTATCTGTATGACAACACTTGGGAATAAGAGGTGCATATCAAAGTGAACTTGGTTGTGGGGAAGGGAGGAAATTATGAAAAAAATGAATGGATTTTTTTTTACAGTTAACTGGACAGGGTGAAGGGAGGAAAATGTGCAGTAGTGAATGAATGAAAATCCAACATTTCTGTAAACTTTTATTAAAATCACAATAAAAAATAAACCCTATGAACAACAACAACAAACCAAAAAACACAAGCATTGGTTTAGATTAACTAGTAAAGAATCTTTTAAAATGGTGTTCTTTTTAAGATCTATTTGTATGGCATGGACAGTATCAACTTGAAAACTAGATATTTAGGAGCAGTGAATTCCTATTATTGGAGGAACAACTTAGAAGACAGGGTGAGAATGGTTACACACCTTAAAGAATGTAATCAGTGTCATATATAGAAATTTTTTAGCTTGTTTGTTTTGCTGTGTACATTTTCAACAAAAAATATTTTTTTTGTTTGGGTTTTTTTTATTATTAATTTCAATGAAAATATACAGAGACTTTGGATTTCCATTCATTCATTGTTGTATTTTTCTCCCCTCCCAACCCTCCTCCATAAAATATTTTTCTTAATAGAACCAGTGAAAGATATTCTTTTTACCAAATGAAAATAAAAATTACTTCAGAAAAGGTTCTCTTGAGTTGGTACATGATAACTCACAAATGATTAATGTATTTATGCTTTCAAGAGTTTGATGTGCATGAAAATTTTAAATATATGAGGAGGCATGTATAAAAAGGAACTCTGGTGACCTAGTGGTAAGGAGCTCTAATGCCATCCCAAAGCATCTGTTTCAAATTCACTACCTGCTCTGCTGGAGAAAGATGACCAGTCTTCTCCCATGTAGTATACTCTGAAAACCCACGGAAGGGTCATCTGTATGCTAGTTCTGACTCACCTGTGCAAAACAACATCAACAACTAATATATGTAAAAGAATGTTAAATGAAACAAAGTACTAAGGTAATAATGATTAAGAGTATGTAAAATCTTGTTTTTCAATGCAGCATAGTATTCCATTGTGCGAATATACCACAGCTTCTCTACCCATTCGTTTGTTGATGGGCATTTAGGTTGTTTCCA